TGACAAGTTCTAGGATGTCTTCGTATTTAGATCTTCTGTGAAATTGTATTCGCGATTTGGATACCATTATATTTTATATTCTTATATAGAAAATTACATTTTAGAAAATCCTCTCACTTAGTGTTTCAAGGGTTTTTATTCTGTTCTGTAAGTGTTCTATGGATGTTTCAGGTATTCTAGGATTATGCATTTCTGATCTTAATCTGTCAATCTCCATTGTGTAAATATCTTTCATTTGTCCTTCTAGTAGTCTGCGTTTAAGTGCTAGATTGGCAACTCTTGCTTCTCGTGCATCCATTTCCATTTTTAAGTTCAACAAGTAGTCAATATTAGGCTTATGAAAATTTAACTCTGACGCTTCATTTACCACGGGATTGTCCAATGACTTGCGCTTTTTCTGTCGCTTTTGTTGCTTAAACTTTATACCTGTGATATAAAACCATTGCTATATATTAATTACCTAGATTTTTTAGAACGAGAATTGAACATTGCCTGACACATAGTATTGGCTTTCTCTTGCTTCCTTCTCATCATTTCTTGGTTCATCGTTCGCAATTGCAACTGAATGAGTTGTGCTTGGGTCAGATTGTCATAAGGTTGCATATTTGGCGGTGGAGGCGGTGGCATAGCCTCAGAAACTGGAGGTGGTGCTGTTATTATTGGAGCATTTGTTATTTCTTCATTGTTTTCTACAGTTAATGGTTTTACCTTCACTTTTGGCTTCACATTGTTTTTTCTAACGGGTTTAGACATTATGTCACTCGGCTTACCTTCGCATTTGTCGGGGTGAGAATATCTTAGAGTTTTCATATTCATTGGTTTCTCACAATCTCCGCACTCTGTCATTTGCTTCGCCACTTCCGTGATCTTTACTCTTGACGGTTTAGGCTCTGCTGTTACTTCTTCTTGGGGTTCTTTAGGCTCTTCTGTTTCAGGTGTTTCATCGGCTTTCACTATTTCAGATACTTCTTCACTCATATATAATATTCTATATATTTTCTATTTGCTTTCAATCCATATCTTTGTTATGAAAGAGGAGGCTAAAAGTAACATTTATATTGTTTAAGTCTATAACGTTACCCGCCCCATCCATTATTCGAAAGGTTAGCCTTTTAATATTTCTCTTAGAGACATTGACATAATCAAACTCTGTTATTCCGTAACTGTCGCTGATAATACCCGCAAAGGGAGCATTGACCGGCACCTTTTTAATTATTGCGTTTGAGAAAGCAGAAGGGCTATGAAAATTATTATTAGATAATTCGGGGCAGGATATATAAACATCGGGATAATTTAGCAAGTTAGCAAATCCAGTCGTCCAAGGCGATGATGAAGTGAAGGCATCACCAACAGGTGTCGTGAAACCTAAGACAGTATTACTAGAGTTTAGATTGTTAAGATCTACAGAATTAGAGAACGAACCAACAAAAGTAGGAATATCCGCATCAGTCAAGGGTATGAAGACGACTTCGCTATAATTAGACGATACAATAATTTTGCTTGTTAAAGTGTCGTATGTAGCAGAATATGAGTTGGTTCTTCCCCCGCTGTCAAAGAATGTGTTTAACTGTGTTTGTATTGCAGAAGCTAGGTCTGGAGCGGTGTAGTTTCCCACGGGTATTTGAATTCTTCTGTATGTTATGCCTTGAGGCGTCGCGGGTGGCAATATCTGATGTCTGAAGTATAGGTTCTGGTTGTGCGTATTGATTGAATACCACGCATTGGGAATAGCCACCGCATGCACTTGCATAATGGTGTTGTCG